AAGGTAGCTACGGGGCATACAGTAATTTAGCATTAAAAATTGACATGGTGTTAAAGGTAGCTCTAGTTTATTGAGGATACACAGTCAAGTATTTATTTTGAGAATGAGGCATACAGTTAGATTAGCATTAGATCAAATTCTCATGCTATAAGTAGCTCTATAGTTTAGTGGATATGCGGATACGCGACGCGGATACGCAGATAGTTATTTTGAGATTAGAGTTAAATTAAGGCGACAGTTAGTTAGCATTAATAGATTAAATTCTCATGCTATACAGAGCTTAAATATTTTGTAATATGTAAATATGTTGCTCACAACCGGACATTGGTGTTTGACAGATTATGATTAATTAGCGTCGCTGGAGAAAAAAATTACATTATAAAGCATACTAAGCATAATATTAAACATTAAAAGTCTTGCATGATATTTCCTTTATAGTATCAATTCATAATATTGTCTTAGTAATTAGTTTGTGTATATTAGAACGAGGCAATAAGATCCGGTATATACGTATCCAATGATCGAAATAGTGGCCGGGCTACATGATATGATATTACTAGTGGACGGGTATTCTGCAATACTTCTATTTGTGAAAAGTAGTCTTGATGGTCGCTTTGAATCTTCCAGTATTTTCTTGCACGCTAGTTATCTTATCCTGATCCTCTTCAGTTGGGATGATATATAGTTTTAACTCGCAATAACAGTTATTGAGTATTTTCGAAACCAGAAAAACAAAGTTTTTAGATTTGCTATGGCATCACGAAGCAAATCGTTCACCTCTCTACACGTGGTCGAAGAAGAACGTGAAGTGATGGATATATGGTGTACCAGTGGGTTACGCGGGGTTACGAAGGGATCCATCAATTACGCGCGGAGGCCTGGACGCGGATCAATGATGCGTCCGACTATCAATGAGGAGTCCGACTGTCTACGGAAAAAAAATTTGCAGTCTGGCCATGTGTTTCTCAATATTGACAATACATAATAAACTACAATTGTACAAATTCAGCTAACTATATTAACATACTGTATAAAATATATTACAGTAAATAGCCTTCGAAATATATATTTCATAGAGCTAGACAGTGTAACAAATAATGGGAATCTGCTAAATAATTTGTAACAATGAAATACATTTTCAAATTCATATATACTGTACCTTTTTATACTTGATGGAAATCATCACAAATAGTATGTACGAGATTGGCTCCATTTTCACTGCTTCGAAATTCGAAACATCGCCTCCTCGGCGATTTACATGATGCGATATAAAAGAAGATTGATGTACATTCGACGTATATATAAACGTAACATATTAAGAAGAAAGATTACAACAAAAAATAAAAGAATATAAATAATCCGCGGCAATTCAAGTTCCATTCGTGAACTTTTCGTCGCCCCCCTGTCTTTATTTCCACAAAGCCCGCTCGCACGCTAATACTCCAAGAATCTTGGAGTATTTGCCTGACACGTGACCAGCGTTTACCAGGGCTACGTCGCCGCCTTCAATTCGCGACTAGCCCTGGGTACGAGGTTGCTATTGGATGTCATTTTCAGTCCCTTTCTATTGTTTTTGTCTACGCGGTCGGACACGAAACCGCAAGGTGTATAGCAAAATTTCGTGTTTTGACATTGATTTAAGGTAATTCCGTAGTTTTGCATTGTGTACTCTTACTGCGCACATCTTATAACTTATAATTTCATCCATTATACGTACCGTTTAAAAATAATTATTTTATGGCAATTTTATGTTACTTCAAAACATCTTTCGTTACATTCATGCAAAGAATTACGTTAAAATCAATGTTTTCAAAAAAGGCATGCAAAAGTGTAGCTAGGGTTCCCTGTGTCTGTAGTATATTTATTTACTTGTATTTCACGTTTTAATGCCACAATTTCCTAAAAAGATCGATGACCCCCGTTTTTTAACTGATAATTTATTTCTTTAATGCATTTTACATTTCATATCCGAAATTAAAAGAAAAATCATTTCTGGATCTTGAAAGAAAATCCTTTATCAATGCATGTTCTCAAAGAAAGGTATATGTAAAGAAATGTGGAAAAGACATTTGTGAATCAGAATTGTACACTTAGTAGTTTCATTTTGCTCAAAACACAATATTTTTTCAAAAATAATTACAAGATAGGTTTACTAATGCAAAATCCGCGCTAAAAACGTTAATACATATCGGGCTGTTGTGATTTTGCTGTTACTCGTAATGAGCGTCAAGATGGCGCCATATTGGGGTAAAGGTGCATGGTATATTGTGACTGTCATATCTTCTTAACGAGTTCGGTGACCCCAACTTTTTTGTGTGATTTCACTTTAAGCATATCATAAACTCCATGCCTAGGAAGTTTCAGCACATTCTCATTTCGGGAACAATTACTGCGGAATTACCTTAAAGACTGATACTATGATTTTATGAACTGATAATTTTTTTAGCGCTACGAGCCGTTAGCAAAAGCTGGAATTAGCTTTGGTAAAATTGGTATTTAAACCGTTTTCACCCTTCATAGCTATTGGACCATCTTGGCTTCAATTGTCTCATACGCCGAATGACTCCGGACATATATGGAGCTCACTGGTTGACATAACTTTAAATTTTTCTATCAGTTTATTTTAAATAATATGCATGTGTGAAGTAAATTCGGACGTATGCTTATCAAACTGAAATAACTCAAAAAGCAGTTGAACAAAAGAAAATAGTTACTATTTTGAAACTTATTTTTACATAAGACCATGACAATTTTTGAAGCTGGTAGTACTTAGATCTATCATGATACTACGTCATACATTGTTTGTTGTTCGATTGCAATTACATTATCTGACCAATGAATGATCACTTCAAACACTCATTAATAATTCATAAGCTTATAGGCAAATCATGTCAACCATAATATGTCACGTGCAGTGGCTTTAAACCTGATAAAACACTCCTAATTAGTATTCTTTATATAAAAAATACTAATAAGGCAGTATCTCTTGTAGTCGTGTCCTCATTAGTATTCTTTATATAAAGAATACTAATAAGGCAGTATATCTATTGAATTTGTAGTCGTGTTTGAAGCCGTTTAATAAACTCGCAGGTCGTGTTTTATAAGGTCTAAAACCACTCGCGCTGCGCGCTCGTGTCTTTAAACCTAATAAAACACTCCTGTTCGTTTATTAAACAGTACGTAACCCAATTTTGTACCCAGAACTATTTGCTCCCCCGTTTGGATGATCAGCGAATCGAAAAAGGTCCTTATCAATTTTGAATATATAATATTGTTTAATGTGGGAATAACGAAAGGGCATTGACAATTTTAGTTAGTATAGGACTAAAATATTGAGTAAATAAGATGATTGATATTTTCGCCTGCGACACTGCATGTATTATGGAAAGACAATAAATCACATCAAACCTATTTGGTTGAAATATGGTTGAAATTAAGCCTTTTTATTATATGGCAAGCATCACTTCCGCTGAAATGGCGGACTGTGATTGGCTGAGAAGCACTTTGTAAAAACAAACGCATGCATTTTAAAAGAAAACAGCGAAACTAATGGAATAAAATATGAAAATTACTATTTAATTTGTTATTAATGAGATATTTGCGAATGGTTTTAGTGGAAAAGAAGGAATACATTAGTATTTTTTTTTTCTTCGACCAAATGTGTATCACTCTACTAATATACATTTCAAATCATACATTTCTTGTTTGTTTCAAGTATAAATGCCTATAAATGTTATATATAATAAACTTTTTACTAACCTCGCTTGCTCAGTATGTACAACAGAAATATCGGACCTCGGTCTTTTTGTACAAACCTCGACCTATGGGTTCGGTCTGTACATAAAAGGCCTCGGTCGGATATTTCTATGTACAGACCTCGCGCTCGGTTAATACAGAAGAAGTTAGTACATTTTGTACAGACAAGTATTTGCGCTGGTTGAACATACATTTCTTATTGAATGACAGGTTAAGCAAACTCTGAATGTGTTAAAAAGTCCTCAATCTTACGGTCGAATGTTAGCTTAATTAAAGTACCTGTGTAAATAGTGAAAACGTAATAAAATCAACTTATTTTGTTGCTTTGTCTTTGATTGTATATACGCGGCATTAAGTGTGTTTACTTCTGCCAGTGATAAATACAGTTTAATTTAACAATTTAACAATTTTAGGCAAACGTCTATGCATTTCAAATAAATTTCGCTGACCATCTAATTGTGAAAGCAAAAACCCGGGGTATAGAGGTTTTGTGCATTAGTATTACAATGTGTAACCAAACTATCAAGTATATAAAATCAGGTCATGCTAAAACGGTGAGGAAAATTTTTGTGTCTTTCAAATGAAGTCAAATGAAAATTCTCGTTTTTAAATACTGAATAGATAATGTGAAAACAGCTGCGACCCCCAGCCTCCTTCTCTGGCAACTCGGTGTGATCAAATTAGTTGGGCTATATTAAAAAGAGTCTAATAATTTATTTTGATAATTTATTTTGACGAGCTTTCGGCCACTAGACTATGGTTGAATAATAAAATAATAATAAGTTAATAACATGTATTTCTATGGCGCCATTTCTTATAACTCATTGGCGCTTTACACTATATAGAAAATTTAAAATTTTAGTATGATTTGTTTACATCAATCCATTTAAAAATTTAGTATATTTACCATTACTATATAAAAGTCAATATAACACGTAAATTAAATAAAAAGTCGGTTAGGGACCGCTCATTATTTATTGTACAGGGGGGGACTGAGGAGAAACTCTACAGTTGTAATATTTTTTCGTTGCCCCCCTCTTAAGACAAGTAAAATTTTCAAAGCCCCCCCCCCCAACAGGCAAAACAAGAACATAAATTTTGCCCCCCCCCCCTCTAGCTCTTTATCTTTATTTAGAGAAACAAAAACTCTAGCTGTTTATTTTAGAGAAAGAAAAATAGGTAATGGGGACCAATAGACATTCCCATTATAGACTAATTTTTTATCTTAGCAAAAAAAGTATATTCCCGGGAAGGGCATACTAAAATTACTAAAATTCCAAAGTTTGGTTGCAAAATGTTGTAAAATATGTAGAAAATATAGCCTTCCAAAGTTTGCAAATTTTGTATTCTTTTGTATAATTGCAATTTTCGCATGCAATACAAAAGTGTACAAAATTTGCAAACTTTGCAAGGCTATATTTTCCGTATTTTGCAACAATTCGCAACCAAACTTTGCAATAATTTACTTATTTTAGTATGCTCTTTCTAGCTGTGGTGATTTATTTGCATCAAGGCCGGATTTTGAGGGAAGTGTGGAGAGGTGCGCACCTCCCCAGAGATCGTTTTGCACCTCCCCTGAGAATTTTTCCACCTCCCTTGAAAGGTCATGCACTTCCCCTTGGGAAAGTTTCAATGATGGAACAAAGTGAAAATGTGATGGTTGCTTAGGATCTACACTTTGTGACGTAAGAAAGTTTTCTCTGTAAAATTGAAACAGTGATAGCCATGTCAAGTACCCTTTTAATGCAATGTTTTGAAAGAAACAGTCTAGCAATTGTAATGAAGGGCAAGATTGGAGTCATACATTCATAATTCATTAACACACTGGTACATATTATGTACACTACATGCATACCTCACCTCATTGATATTGGCCTGTTCTACAATAAGCCCTAACTTTCCATGGGAGTTGTGAGCTAGACCGCTGCACCTCTTTTGTCCACCTCCCCCACTATTTTCAGCAAAATCCGGCCTTGATTTGCATCTCTTTGCCTAGTTCTAAAATTAGTCTATAATGGGAATTGTCTATTTACATGAACATGAGAGACTTTTTATTTGACTTCCATTTATGAATATTAAAGTCTATAAATATTGTTATTTGTTGTTAAGTTGTTTTGTGATACATTTTAAAAACTACTGTTTTTTCAAACTGGTAAATATTTTCAAAGCCCCCCTTCTTTCGTCTCTCTGTATTTTTTCAAAGCCCCCCTTTCAGGTTTTGAAAAATTTGAAGGCCCCCACAGTTTCTCCTCAATCCCCCCCTGTACAATAAATAATGAGCGGTCCCTTAGATAAGGGTAAAACTAGTTAGTAAAACTAGGTAAAACTAATTGGTAAAATAGTGTCAATTACTTAAATATAAAATAAATATGTCTTCTATTTTGTCTTCAGGTACAGTACTAGTTAAAACATGAGCAGCCGATCTTTATCTGATATTATCTTTAGCTCAAAAAACGACCTATCTTATGAGTTTATTGGGCGAAGCAATTTTAAAAATAAACATTGTCTAAGCCGCGAAAATTAAAGCTCAAGTTTATGTAAATCAGAACAAATCTTTAATCAAGCGATTTACAGATATTGATTAAACATTCATTTCTATTGTATTTTCCTCATACATTATTAATGATTTTTCTAAGCACTAGATAAAACATGAGCAACCGATCTGTATCTGATATACAAACCCGAGCCGAAGGCGAGATTTGTATATCAGATAAAGATCGGATGCGAATGTGAAACTCAGACAAAAATCCGGTAAAATTCTAGTTAACATTTTGATATTTTCAGGTAAAATTTGCGTAATAAAGTAATTATTTGTGTGAAATGATAACCATTTTTGTAACATATACAGTCAATTTACATCCAATTTCTTTGCGAAGTTGCTTTAGAAAACGCCAGAATTGCAGTCATATAGCTTAAAAGGAACAATTTTCTGGGGGAGGACCCCCAAACCCCCGTTTTCTCCCGAAACTTAGTATGACAGTGCAAGTCAATCACAAGAAGCTTTATTATAATTATTACACTTTAGGTAAATATGTATTAAAAATTCAAATTTCAGGTAAAATCCTCCGACAACTTCCTCCCCCCCCCCAACTTCAGATGCTTTGCTTTGTTCATGTAGACTGACGTGTACAATAGTCGAAAAACTAAAAAAAAATTCCCAAAGGGATTTTTAAAATGGCCGAAAAAAGACAAATTTTGAGCCTTATCCTAAGCACGCTGTTGCCATGGTAACGGACTTTCAGCACAAAAGTAGCACATTGCGATGTTCAGGAGAGCATTGTCAATGTGTCCAATAAATTTCGTCTTCATGTTGTGTAAAGTGAAGAAACAGGCGTCACAGAAGGCGTTTTCTGGATACTATAGTGCAGCATAATGCAAAAACCTTAGGGAGCCACCTTAATTAATTAAAATAGTTTTTACTATTATTTCATGATTTTTAAACACAGAAATTACTCGTGATCATTCGTGGTCACTCGTGGTCATTCGTGGTCACTCGTGGTTATTCGTGGTCATTCGTGGTTATTCGTGGTCACTCGTGTGTACTTTTAGACAAGAGGGCCATTTATACGAGCGAAAATAAGCCGCGGCTTATGTAAGTCGCGAACGACTCGTATAAACAGTCAATTTGCAATAAGCGGCTTATTGCAAATTGACTGTTTATACGAGTCGTTCGCGACTTATTTAAGCCGCAACGGCTTATTTTCGCTCGTATAAATGGCCCTAAGATCATTCACCATGGCGTACTGAATCTGGAATTTCATTCCATAGTTTTTTACCATAGTGATATTTTGTTATCCCCATACTCGTATCACTAGAGATATGGTTAGGATTAGGGTTGCTGGCGATGGTAGCAAAACACGGGTACATATCACTGCATGTGATACCATGGTCACACTCCAATCAGTCCAATGTCCGCTGCAACTGACATAATTATTATCTCTCCGTCCTCAAAAAGAATCTTGTCTTATCATGATACTTTTATAAGTTAATATTTAATCTTATTGTTTACTCAATAGGTTTTCATTGGAAGCTACGGTAGAGATATAATAGTCCGACAACGTTTGTTGAATGTCATATTCGCACGGTTTGTTCGACTAAAGCCAACGGATGAGGAGACCTATGTGGGGTTGAGAGTTGAATTCGATGGATATTATATAGGTAAGTTGAAAGAATGCTCATAGTTGCGACTTTTATAAGTACATGCGAGAAGATGATAGCCTGAATATCAGAGTCTGTTTTCCCTTCCTTAAATGCGGGTGAATGGGAGGGCCTGACGCAAATGAAGGGCCTGATACAAATCCTTGTCTGGCCACATTTGAAAAAGCCAAAATCCGGCTTGTCATCTATTGGTCTTTCAGAGTACAAAATCTGACTTTTTATTGGTTAGTGCTAATTAGATTATACTATTGTTCATGTACTATTGGAGTGTTTTATTAGTAACAATGGTCTTTTGTTAAAGTGGTCTTTAGTTAAAGTGTTCTTTAGCTGGTATAAAGTAAAGACGTATGCACGTGACTAATTTCTTACTCAAGATTGGATAATTGGTTCATGAATTATTAATGAGTTTTTGAAGATATATTATTATATTTAGTAGTTTTAAAACACTACTAGGACTAGGATTTAGTAGTTTTAAAACACAACAACGAGTTTAAAGTTTGTTCGTTCACGGCAACCAGGTTATATCAATCATGTTTTCGCTCGCTACTCTGGTTTACAGATGCCGTCTGATTAGCATTCTTCATATGTATAAGAGTACTAATTATGATGAACAATTATATAATGCCACATGTGTTTTATCAGATATAATTAAAGTCACTCCACGTGACATATTATGGCTGATTTTACACAGGGATTATGTATTATTAACGAGTATTTTAACTATAATTAGATTGTTGTTACACCGTTTGTTACTCATTTAACAATAAAACGAACTACCATCTGCAAGAACCAGAGACGATGATACGTACAAGCTGCTCCATTTACTTTTCGGAGTATTCCGGATTTTCGGAACACTGATGGAATGGAACAGCAGAGAGTCACATGACTGTTCTGAACTGTTCTGACTACCCCGATTTTCGAGTATGGGCAGCCAGAACAGACACGTGACAATGCCTATTTTCACGTGATTGGAAATGGAGGCGACATATTTTGTGTACCCAATGCACACTGTATATGCCTTATTTTTAAGGGTTAACCGCTATATTTCGACATATACTTATTATATGCTATTTGAACGCCAGGGTTGGGCAAAATCAACGAGTAAAAACGTTGCAAAAGCATACTTAGACATACAAATAACAGCGAATCATTATACGCTTTATTATGCGAATAACTAAATAATATAGTAATGCATGGTTGCACGCATATATAATAAACTCAACACTGCTCCAGAACACCGTGTGCACTCCATTTTATATCGTTCCAGAACAGTGTTCCAAATGTTCTAGAACAGTAAATGGAGCAGCCTGGTAGAGATATCCATGTGGGCGGATTTGACAGCCACATAAAATGAATGTATAATCATTACAATGGTCGAATTGCCAACTGAGTGTTTGCAATAAAAAGAATTGATATCAAGTTCATTTAATACAAATATATTTTCAATTATACACTACAAAATATGTGGGACATCAAGCAGGAAATGTCATATATCCTTCATCCCTGGATGACGCCCATTTAAGCAACATGGAATATATATTTGCATACCACTTGTATGGTCCTCATATGCATGCTATTTTATCTTTATTTGTTGATGTTGAATACTTTAGACGATAATAATGATTATGTATATTCAAATTTTTGTATTGAATATGCATGCGTTTCATGCAATTCGCTGTCAAATCCGCCGACATTCATATCTCTACGTTTTATTGGTCGCTGGTTCATACACATGGTAGCTTGCTTTATTGTTATGAGTAACAAATGATGAATTGTGTGAAACTGACATATCTTCTGGGACATTTTGATTGCATACTAAATATAAGCTTTACAGTGGTCCGAGAGCGATCGAATATATTAAGGTTTGTGTCAGGCTCTAATACTCAGGCTAACCTGTCATATTATTTCATGACGATTGGCTTTCCTTTTACGAATGTTAGTACAAAGCCATTTCGTCTACAAGAGATTGAAGTAACATATCGTAATATCAAAACGTGCGCCTCTACCATTTCGACTGCCATAAATAGTTCCTGAATATAGAATGATGGATGTAAATGACGTTCAACTGTAAGTTATCATGCGTAGGCGATTTGGATTCCCAAAGGAAATAAAATAAACACGCCGCCCGTCTATTATTATTGTGGAAAATAAAGTCGGCGTTTTAACTGTTACCTATTCTTTGCTTGCACATGACGTCACTACGTGTCATTAGGCAACATCTTGGTTGATTTTATATAAAGTTTTGTCCATCCGTTTACATCGAAATAGTTGAGTTACTTTAATATTTTTTATTTGTTTTGAAAACATCTTACTGTATTATGTGTATTATGGATAGATTACGATTTCTGGCACAATATACGACAAAGACTGAAGAATATAGATTTTTAGTTGCCACGTACAGCATGTTTTGAAAATCAACCAAGATGGGGTCGATTGCAAACGAGCAATTGGGGGCGAACCGCTAGAAAAGTAGTGGGGGGATTTTCAGCATGCATTTTCCTGAATTTTAACGGTTTTTTCTTCACTTTTCCTTTTTGCACGAATTTTTCAGTTTCTTTTGTCTTTCCTTGCGGGAATCTTTTTAGTCGGTTTACCAAATGAGTCACCAAGGGTTTTACCATTCAGGATTCTCAGAATGCAGTTTTTTCAAATCTCAATCAGACATTTGCCATGTTTATTAATATAGTTATCAAACCTTTCCCTCATTTTTGGTTGAATAGAGGTTTCAGTAATATCGTTTATGAAGGTATTTCCTTCTTTTGAGACAGAATCTTCAAGTTTGCTGGTACAGGCATTAAAGCCCCCCCCCCCC